GAGATGCGCAGCTGATCGCACGAATGTTCATATTGTTGACTGACTGAAATCATTCATGAGCGCATCGAAGCAGCATCCAAAGGTAAGCTGTTTTTTGTCGCCTCACAACGTACTAAGTGGAAACAGTCGGGCGAGTAGCAATTAACAGTACGGTAAAACAGCAGCATCTTGCAGCAAGGTGGTGGGGATGTTTAGCACGGAATCGACACTCAGCGCACAGAAAATGACGATCGATTTCACTTCCGCAAATGAGCCATACAAATGTTTCACATCAGCAGTGAAAAGACATGCGTTGCGCGACGTGCTTTGGACCCGATTATGGCTCCAGGGACACTAGTTAAAAGCCGCAGGTTAGCGCAGGACGGCCGATTCACCTAAAGAACATAAACCACACTGTAACACGCAGATAAACAACACCATGAATCTAAGTTTGATCGCTCGTGACCAAGGAGGAAAAACAGTGTGTCCGGTGTACCATGGCGATGACAATGATATTCGCATGTTCCGCAGGTTGCGGAGCTCAGACAGCGGATGAAACTTTAAAGCATTAAGCAGATACATGCAAGCGCCGTAAATGCTTCCTTTAAGAAAGCGAATTCAGTGCCCGTAATTTCGAAAAGTTAATAAATAAGGTTGTGAAAAACACTCTTTTCGATAAATCTCATCGAGCGTTTACAATATTGGTGGAATCAGAACAAGGCATGAAATCAAGCCGTTTTAATCGATAAATTAATTGAGCTACATAGATAGCAGCTACTACAGTCAATCTAAAGATCCAGTTTGAAAAATTGATACATCTCGTGCAACAAGACCTGAGCTACGAAAGCAAATCCTTGTCTCTTGACTAACAAAACATCGAGAGGCTGTCACGTTGGCAAAACAACTGAATACGATAGTGCACACTAGCGGGGCGAGATTGGCGAGACAAGGTGAGTGGCTGACAGACTCGTTGTCGTGATGAAACCGGAAGCTGACGAAATCAGACCGTCATCGCCACAAGGGTAGCTAGGTTGCGGACGTGATCCTACCCACAGACAGATAGTGAAGGCCGCTACCAGAGTCGAATCTGTTCAGACAAGAGATATGAGTCACCTCAGTGATAGCCACGAGGTGAGCGCATGTGACCTATAAAAGTGACGATGTTCTGTGCCTAATGTAGTTCGAACTAGCAGGCTCGGCGTTTTGTTTTCCCCGCCTGGTTGGCAGCGCATAGAGGGGAAGGGCAGTGTCACAACAGAGGCCGTCATGGAATTGAGATGGAATCCAGGTGTGATAATATATAAGCCCGATATGAGATCAAGATGGGTACTGTTGGAAAAATCTGACTACGTCTACGAGATGCTCATTAATTTTGCAGGACACAAGAAAATTCTTACGTGAAACAGTGAAGAAAGTTGATTGTGCAGGATGAGCACAAGATCACACGAGTATTGAAGGAGCTGAAACGCATGAACCTGTTGGATCACATCATCCCGGACTATCTAAAGTATACAAACTATAGGCACTTCTGCATCCGATAATTGACTAATCAACCGCAGCTTTTCACACGGTGGCGGAATGGATTTACTTGAACCAGTACTTACACTGTGACAGTACTTACACTGTACTTACAGTACTGTACTGTACTTACACTGTACTTACTTACAGTACTTACACTGTGACACATTCGAATTTGTGAAACAATTTGAATGGATGAAAGGAAATGGCAAACTGATGCTCTCTTTTGACGTTGAGTTGCTTTCTACGTACGTTCCTTTCATAGAAGGTGATTTTATTTGTGATAACTTAGCCAAAAAGACCACGGATGTGGGTATTGTGGTACAGAAACCGAAGGAATTAATTCCATGATGCACTTATAACAGACGACTTTTATTTGATGGAGCTTACTATAGACAGATCGACGGTGTCGCCGTGGCGTCGCCCCTGGAACTGTTTATTGCTGACATTTTCCTCAGTTAGCTGGAACATAGACTAATAAGACCCATTATCCCACCTTATTGTCGATACATAGATGATACGTTGATAGTGTCATTCAGATACCGATGTTTCCAGACTGCAGAACCAGTTAAATACTATACATCCCCCAGCGGAATAGAAAACGATGGTAAGCTGCCCTAGTTGGAGAAAGGAAAATGGTCCGCCAGTAGTAAGCGTTTCGGGAAGCGACGTGGGTCGATCAATACACGCATTTTCTGTTTTGTACCCTTGAGCTACAGACGGAACCTTGTCCATTGCTTATACTTTCTGGTTACCAAAATTTGCAGTGCAGTGGACACTGAAGTCCGAAAAGAACTGTATAATCGAAATGCTGCAAGAAAACGGCATTAACAGTCTATCCTGTTCCGAATTTTCATTTTATAGTTGTAAACGCCTGATGAAATTTAGTGAAAAGTGCTCTACGCAACCTTATGTTCTAACAAGTCTAGAGCATAATGTTCGAATTTGAAAATGTGTCTCACTTTGGTAGTTTCAGGACGAATCGAGCGCGGTGGTGGATAATAAGGACAAATAAGACGCAAGCAGGTACATTAGGATCACAGAAAAACTGCTCTAAATACTTTGAAAAGTATACCCAATAAGACGCTGATAAGAATGGTGAATTAGAAATTGAAGTCCAGGTTATAAAACGTGGGGCAGAAAAACGGTGCAGTGCATAGACCCGAAGAGCACCATTCAAAATCAGTGGAAGGCGGTGATAGATCGTTGATTGTCACAACATACGAAAAAACCAACTTGGATTACAAAGGAAACGATTCCGGACAACAGGTGGCTGTTGACTTCGATTACCAGACTACGAAAGCCAAAGCAGCCCATGGTTTTAAGATATCTAACTCGTATATGGCTACATGGAAAGGCTTTGTTTTGCTAAGGATGAAATGAAGTTGGATGAAGCAAAGGAGAAGTGATGGTTGGAAAACGCAAACATCGTTTGTGCAGGCTGACGATAAGAAACAAGAAATTCGCTGAAGAATGGTGAGAAGTTGAACAGGAAGCTGGACGAGAGGATATCCCTTACATTTTGTCAACACAGCATCAGCTGATCAACGGAAGAACCCACTTGTTGCGGCAGTTGATATCATTGGCGAACGGAACAGAAACGCGATAAACGAATGAGCAGTTTAGCAAGCCTACAGTTGCATATGCCGAATGAGACAAGTAGAATTGCTTTAGCCTAACCCAAAGAAAAGGTTAAGTTGGTGCAAACAAAGGAATGCAATGACTCGAGCAGTAGCAAACAAGGAGCAGACGTGGACAAACGAAGTCTCACTGACCTCATGGGATGAAGTTAAGTAACGGACCGATGGAAAAGAACGACAATGGAACAGCGACTTAAATTTGTGAACAAAAGGGATGATCCATCTGTTCAGACTACGTTCTGATCAGTTACTGCCAATCCTTCCTTAAGGTCTATTAGTTTGAGCGCATTTCTTTCGATACTGGTCAGTAGCAATGATGAGCTCTAACCAATCAACCAACATGGCGTAGGTTTCCGTAATGATAATAGTCAGCGTGTGCCAAAGTTGCGTGGAGATGCTTGCCCATTCCTTCAGAGCACTACTGACACAGCATCCGCATAAGAGTGACAAGGCACCCATCCGCCTCGGGACACAACCGCCGGAGGCTGCATCAAAAACTACCACTCGATTTGAACTACGAGCGTGGACTGACTATGCGTTTCGACGGACGCCATTACGACGCATCAGTGCAGACATTTGCTAACTGGGGGAGCCAAATGTTCAGAACGCGCACCAAATGTTGCTAGTATCCGAGTTGAGTAAGCGCGCACTTTGTAACTGATCACATGCTTACCAGAAGTCCTAAGTAAGTTCACGTAAAAATTGATCTGCCGGCCCGGGCAATAGACCTCTACGCAGTGTCGGGAAATGCTCGATGTTTGCCGACGTATTCGATTTCTGATAGCTTACAACCATTCAAAGCAGCATTGGACAAATTAGTGATAGGTGTCAATTAGTTTGCACTCTCGAAATGCAAAGTCCTCCAAAATTGGTTGAGACCCACACTTGCGCTGGACCATGGTAGGAATCAGGCAGAAGTCGATCAGAAACTCAACCAACCTGGACAGTTGTATCACCGAATGTAGAATAGAAGATGAGGTTACGGGCCGTATTGAATTAGCTCGAGGAGTTTCTGCTAATCATCTCCACTTTTAACGCCACCGTGAGATCACTCTCGCTCTGAAGGCTAGATTCTACAATGCAGCCTTATGTTCAACTCTCCTATGCGGCTGCGAAACCTGGACCAACAGGTCGACAGAGTAATGAGGCTAGTTATGCTCGACCATCGCTGCCTTCGCAGCTTACCTATAGATAGTTGGAACACCGTGTGCACAATGAGTGTGCCCAGCAAGTTGTCTGTGGCGCAGGAAGGGCTAATGAACCATTGAGTACCACTACTCTACGCATCAGTTTGCAATGGTTGGGCCATGTGTTACATGTACCAACACACCGATTGCCGCGCAGTGGGTTGTTTGCGCGACCATGGCATGGAGAGAAAATAAATGGAGGGCAACTGATTACTAGGTCAAGAGGAATAAAGGATATCACTTTGAGGTTAGCGAATGTAGACTCCCTGATTAAAATCCGAAAGACGAGAAAGACGTCTGGTTAGATAAACTTGCTGAAATGAGGAAAAGCCGGTCTTGTTGACACTAGCGTAGCGAGTTTTTTTTACCTACCCCCACCACGATTAGTCACCAAAACCCCGAGCTTCTCGTTATTTTATATATATATATATATATATATATATATATATATAATGGTCTTGCTTCTCGTTTTTTCATACCATTTTTGCTATAATAAAATGAAACTTAATAACGGTACACAACCTGAGGTGTACGTCACCTCGAGTCAGCGTGCCGAATCATGGATATGTTGGTCCGTAGCATAAAAAGTTATGCAAAAAGATCTACTTTATTGCATGGTTCGGTTGACTAAACCGAATGAACTCGGGAAGATTAATGACAGGGATAAGGAACGAACCTGGAAATCCCTGAATATTGTCTTGCGAAAACGCTTTTCTAGCCCGTAGCTGTAGAAACGAAAAAGGCATTCTATGCCGTAACGAGCATCTGCTTTTGAGTCTTCCAGAGCATATCGACGAAAGTCCTTGTACATCGTGCGATTGAAGTGCTCGCGAAGGAAAAATGACCAAAAACTGTACAATATGTTCATTTCCTGGAGCGGTAGTTCAGGGAAATGCAAAAAACGTCAAATCAAAGAAAGGTCCGAGTTAATGAAATATTGTACACATCATTGCAAGTCCAGTGAAAAACAGATCACGGAATACGCTGTGGACCGTTGAGATCACTGATTGTGTTCAGCGCAAAATTAGATACATCGGAAACATGTGCGGTAGAGCAGAAGGCATGGACCACTTGGTCAGACCTCATTTCTTCGTAAGGGCCGAGCGCTTCGGTAGTAGTTGTTGTTGTAATGACCACTGGTGATGAAAATATGAATTTAGATGGTGTTTAACAACGGATACTCTGTCGGATGAAGTTAAATCGTCTTCGTTAGTTCGTCCATGTACTCCGCATACCGCCAAGCTGACTGTCACGACACGCACTGTTCGCGACTAGTGTATCTGGTTAGGTGAAATCCCAGGATTGCCAGTCAATAAGATGGCAGAAGGGCATGGAGAAGCTGACTGAAAGGCTGAGTAGAGTGGGTGGACGCTATCCTAGGGACTGACTACATAAGGGATTGGACACAGTATCGAATATGCCGCGGTCACAGGGTCACTGGCGTTTTTAAATTGATTACTTCACTAGGGATCGTTGAGGATACAGCATCTGTATGTGTTCCTATGGTTCCTATTAATATTACCAGTGTGACTTCAATAACCGCTTCGAGCACAACTCGTTGAACGGATCAAGGATGATAAACCGAAAAGAACTGCAACGCGCCTAAGCACGCGGAGGCCATGCGTGACATGCGCCGCATAGTCTGCAAGTCCAAAATAAAGTGAAAAGTTGAGAAAACAAGGTACGGTGAGGCGAGTTTCGTTCCGGGACCAACATATATTATCTCAACTGATATGGCTCATGAGTAAGTTGATTTATACAACGGTAAGTCTGATAAATGTATTTCGCAACACCAATAAACGTAATGAACCAATGTCAAATTGAGGAAGGAGGCATGTTAGATATGTGTGGTGTAGTGGCCAACTACGCTGGACATAGCACCATCAGAAAAGCTGTGCAGTCCGTTGTCGCAAGCAAACAACTAACTGGTTCTAAGAACAAACAGTCGAGGTGTTGAAACCACACTGATTGACGCCGCTTCAATAGGAAAAAATATGCAGCTATGCAGCACGGCATGGGGAGCTGACTTATTTGGGTACATGGCCTGCAACATTCAGCTAGTATTCGCCATTGCGTAGGGTGGGGTTGGCATGATCGTACGTCCTTGGGTTGCACTGAGCAATACAGAAGGGAATGCAATTCACTCCTACACAAGCCAATGGTAAAACATTAATATGCGGTTTTAAGATGATAGAAGGAGAGCAGATATGCTTCCGAGCTGTCTTCCATGGTATACCATGGCGGCAGATGGGGTGGCTCGAACGCAAGAAGCAGACGTTAAAAAGTATCCGTGCACTAACTCACCTGAGATAAGCCTTTTCCTTTAACCTCGCGATCCTGCAGGCACTTTGCTCTGAACTGACTGTAGCCGTGGAAAGTGAAGCCCCTTTGATGGCTAAAATTTCCTCCAGAGCGAGTTTGCGCACCAGCATGTAAAACACTGAGAAAAACAGTCGCGTGAAACATTGTTCACAAAAACAGAATGAGCAGTAGTGGTTAGTCGACATCTTGCTTACCTCGAATCCAAGTCGCGCTCAGAAGTGTTATTCTCAGGACGAAACAGAAAGCCGAGGTGCGACTGAGATGTGCAATGTTCGCCTTCGGATTGACAGCGTTTCCGATGGAACTAAAAAAAATAGTTTAAGAAACACGCAAAGTAAAAAAGGTAGAACGGTCAAGCGGGGCGTATAACTATCACGTTATACACCATATGTCTAAAACATGAGTGCCTAAGAAATCTAAGGCAAATATTGTAGCACACATAACAAATTCCCCGACAAATTTGACACCGTAAATGTTTCTTTCCAAACTGTTGCATGGCAGCAAATTTATCAAAATAGTACCCAGTCCGAGAGAACCAGGCAGATAAAAAGAAAGAAAGAAAGAAAAAGTGGTGAACACACCGCTATGGTTTGAATGGCGCATTGTCTGTAAGCAGGTTATATATATATATATACATATATACATATATATATATATATTATCCCAGCGGCAGGTGCCGGAGAGACAGGCGTCGACCGGGTGTACTACACGGATGTCGAGTGCATGGTGCTGTTACATGCGGTCGCGAGTGCGAGTCAGACCACTCGGCACTAGCATCAAGTTGATGGGTGCTGCTGAGAACGTAAGCAGAATCGGCACAACATGGGAAGGTACGCTGCGTGCGCTTCCATTCAATTTACTAACCGCATGCTTGCGTATTGAGTATTTTTGTTTCTGATTATTGGTATGCTATATTTGGTTAACAGTTAGTTTGTTACTTAGTTTTAAGGTCTATATGAATACTCTTCCATTAAGTTGCACATGTCGCTTAAAAGAAAGGTGGCTATCTCTTCTCGTTGATTGCATATGTCATTTGATCTCTTGTTCTGCCATCCTGAGTTTATCGCGGCTATACTGACAACCCATTTATTTCATATGTTAGCGACATATCCGTATGATGTTTCCGAGTTATTTTATTTGATATTGTCATTTCAAGTGATTGGCTGTTGCTAGACAACCCCGGAGTGGTTGCGCTTGATGTGCATGTTGACAAGGTGCCTACCAGTTTAGTAGCTCGTCTATACCGGCTCCAAGAGACAGTTGGTCGTTGCTGGAGAAGACGGGGTGCTCACTCCTAGTGGCCGTGCTAGGCTCGAAGAGCAGTTCCATGCATTCAGTGTGGAGCGGACTCCGGTCCAGCCACCACCTTGTGTGCGCTTGATTCCCCAAATACAGCGTGCTTGTGTTTGCCTGAGGAAGAGTGTGGGCCAGCTCCGTTGATGAAAAGTGGCTCCCATCCACATGCCGCCCGGTCTTATTCCTTCGGGTTTACACTGGATATTGGGTGTGTGGATGGAACTGTGGGTGATGCAGCGAAAGCCAGCCATGGTTCCTTAGTATGTGCAGGCGGCTTCTGGCTGTCCCCATGGTGGCCGCATTGACAGGTGAATCCGGAACCGTATGCTGCCAACCATATATACCGCAGAGGGCAATAATGTAAAGATATGGTAATTGAGGAGCTAAGCACACCGATCCTAGTCACGTCTCAAATGTACATGCTTTTCCGTCAACCTTACAGACATGTTGAGATCCGAGACCGACTGCAACAACACCAATAGGCATTACGCAACGGTTGCATTCACATTTGCTTGCGCTATCAGTTTAAGAAAACCGAGGGTTCCTCGATTGTAAAACCGTTCAATTATCAACACAGTCCATCCAAAGTTGTCAACATGATATGAGTTAACACGGTTTTAATTTCGTTTCTGTGAACAGTAAGAGTCTTGCAACCTGCCCCGCGAACGCGGCAAGCAGTCTGAACCAATGTCACATGAAAGGATGCTACGCTTGCAAAGCAATGTGATACACAAGTTCCCTCAGGTTGAAGCGGTAACATATGAAGGAGACATCGGGTGGACACCCATTGTGACTAAGGTACAGCCCAACAACCTCGTCGCATATGTGCTGTGGGGCAGGAAATCTGCATGAAATTACACGACGTTCTACGGTCAAAAAGGACAACTGATCAGAATAGCTAGTTTAGTTGTGAAGCTCACATAACTTCGAAGTTTGTGCAGAATTCTCCTGTCAACATGTGGTGACCTAAACGGCGCAGGTAATAGCTGATCTCTAATTATTGAAACCCCTATCATGTGTCAACGCATTCCAAGCTCTCCTCAGTGAGGTTGCTGTACCGACTGTCGTAAGGCGCAGTGACCCAACTGAGCTCTTCACAGGACACTACTGTATTTACCGTCCCGCAGTTTTCCTCGAGATAATACCACTACAGTGCAACTCATAAGTTACTAACATTGTCCTTCCTCCATAGTTTGTGTATTTAGTTGCTACACTATTGGGCTATAAATAAAAAGGTGTCGAAAGCATGATTTGCCTTTGACGGACTCAGTAAACGAACTCTTGCTATCGGCCAATCATTCTTTTCGAGGTCACAGTGCAGCCGTTCGAGGTTACGCGTTTTGTCTCCAGTCTCAGCTCGCGTGGCAGCTAGGTCCCGATCAAAACTCAACTGTCTACTCTGCGCGTGAAGTACCATTAGTGAAAAGCGGTCCGTCGGTTCCGAATAGGAGAGGAAATAACTAAAACGTTTTATAACAATTTTCATTGATTTCAAGGTCTTTGTTGACTAAGTGAAAGGTTCTGCTCTGTTCGATACACTTGAGCAGAAAGGAGTCGCCATGGGACAAGTGAAGGATCTACAAGTACACCGCACTCAAACGCCCCAGACTGCCTAGGGCTCTACAGTGAACTACTGAGTGCCCCTACAATAGCAAACCCTGTCCACCGATGATGCGTCTCTTATATATAATTCTTCATAGGCATAGCAGACTCATGAAGTCATAATCGTTCTGCTGGAGGAAAACGGTCGATTTGAATCATGTAGGCGATATCGTTTTGCGGTTAACAATCGCGATATGGCACAATCATCAATGAACTTACGAGGACTTTCCAAATTTTGGCAAGCGCTTTGAAACTGCAAAGTCAGGATCATCAACAACTTGATCACCCCTCGATTCATGACGATCCGACATAAGCTGATTGAGTGGATAAAATATTTTGGCTGCTGCAATAGCAGTAACGGGCTTCAAAATTGTTAGTTACTTCATGTAATGCGAAAGACAAAGCTGACGTCAAACAGCTGCAACACCTTCGGGGTTAGGATTGTCGTGATGTCAAAGGTCGTGCCTAGAGGATTACAGTTATGGTCGCTACTTAAATACAGTTCGTTCTGCGAACTTCCAGATCCTTTGTTTTTTGACCAACGATGTCAAGGGGGTAATCGCTCGCATCCGGTGACATTATCCTGCCAGAAATTTTAAGACGCGCGATGAATACTGAGCGACAATTATCACGCTAGTTCGCTAGCCGAACGACGAAGTTGGACTTTCGTTGGATGGGGCAAACCATACATGCATGCAGTTTCATTTTTCAGTTGTACACCGACGCCAATGGAGGTTATTGACAGACCACTTGGAGTGAGATTGATCCGTCTTCTGCACTCGAAATGGACATGCAGGCGAAGGAACCTTCTGTGTGTAAATACCGCGTGTACATATAGTACGCAGTAATAGCGGATACCATGTCAATGGACACTGCTGCTAACCACCCGGGTATTCAGTTTGGTTTACCAGATCGGAAACCAGATAGAGCTGTTGCAAATTAAGAGAAAAAAGAAGCAAATATGACTTAGAAAAGCTCACCATTCTGTTGCGCGGTTTTACAAAGGATGCCTTGTAGTTTTGTGGAACTGGAAAAATACCAGCTATGCGACCTTCAGTAGTAGATCTTGTATTCAGTTCAAGACTATTCCCGGTCCTAAGGCAGTCCTGACTGTGCACGGGTTCAGACAAGGTGCAAGGTGTGACGTGGACGAAAGGCGTTCCGCTGGAGACACATGTATCACCGTGAGCTGCGTAATGAAGAGAACCGTTACTCACGAAATGAAGCTGATGGTGGGGAGCAAGGAGTGCACTTGGAGGGAGAAGGGTGGTGGTGGTGGTGGTGGCGGGAGGAATAACTGTGTAGGACTGCTCCTGTGAAGAAGAGAGACCTGCAAGTAAGTGAAAAGTTGGTTGTATGTACGAAGGGGATAGTCTGGCGAATGTGTCATAATTTGGATAACACAAAGATAAATGCGAGACGCTAGCACTGAGCACCAACTCGATTAAAATGACGTAGATGACGAAGCCCTTACCGGTATAAAATAGCTGAGTGGGAGCTGTGGTTGGAGAATATGTAGCAACATCGACCTTAGATTGGCAGCGAGGAAGATAGGAAGCCGAGTGAGCGGTAGTGGAAAAGTGACAGCTTGACACAGACACGGGGAGTGCAGTGTAAGTTGACGTGGGTGCGAAGAAAGTAGTTTTGGTGGAGTCAGAAACCACAGAAGTAGAAGAGTTGGTACCTTCAGCGGTACTGACCTGAAAAGCAAAGAGTCGTGGTAGCAAAAAGTTATGACCGAATACTAAGAGATCGTCGTTGTCGAGTAAATGCGATAATTGTGGATCAAATTCAACGCAATGTGACCGGACTCCAAAAAGGAAAGTGTTGCTAAGTTTGGTTACACATCGAGTAACGAGGAAAGAAAACAAGAAACTTACTAGGAATCGAGATAAGGGGGGTTGCATGCAAGATTCTGTGACAACCTTGCAAAAAGCATCAACCGAAGACCGTTGCATCTCGCTTTCCGAGGGCGAAGGCCGATTAATAATGTTGCTAGACGCACATAAAAACAAACGAATGGAGAGGCTAGACGGGACAGCGTTCAGGAAGTAAAGAATGCTAACATAAGCAGAGAAACAGCGTATCAAGTTTGGAACGACTCACAAATATACGGCAGATAAAAGCACCAAGTAGACTCACTTAATGCGCGTTGTTGTGACATCAGATGTGTGACCAAATGATATGTTCTGTCGCTCTATTTCAGTCGAAATGGACTTCCGGCTCAAAACATCGCAAGGGGGTGCTATGATAAGGAGACCCGACAACATGGAATCATCGATATCATCTTCAGAAGTAGTAGATGAAGTTCTGGCGCGGTGCTACAAGACAGATGATGAACCGGAACCAAAACAGAGTGGAGTTGGTCGACCTAGGCAATAAGTAAACTTCATACACGTGTGAATGAATAATGATGAGATTACCCCAGTGTTGACGTGGGAAAACTGCTCGTTGAAAGCATGAGATACCAAACGGAAAACGAGAAAAAACCAGTAATCACAATTAGTTCTAGCCATGCGTGAAAATCCAGATGCACAAGACGGAACGGATCTCAACGCATAGTATTGTTTATGGTGGTAGCTGTGGTCGAATTCACCGCATTTGGGTTTGGTCGATTTCCAGCCAACGAATGCAGTGAAGACAATTCATTCGGTTATTAGGAAGTAAGTAGTATGTTTATCGTTTCGAAACATAGAGATTTCAGACGTACGGAATTCGATATTGCTGTTCAGGGCTGCAAAAAATCAGGTGTGCTGTGTGCACGGAGATGCTGTTGAGGGACGTAATTCATAAGACAGGCAAAGTGGAGGGTTCCATTTCATTACTCAACAAATGCATTCTGGTTAATGAGCAAATTAGTTATTATAATCGAAAATCTCGGAGTGATTTTTCGAGCTATCCGGAGAATGTCCCTATCCAGAATGTATCGATCGTTCAAGTATCCCTAGTCCGCGCCTCATCGCGTGAAACGCCATGCAAGTTGGGGTAGGCAGACGCCACGCTTCTGTGCGTAGTGCATCGTGTGAGATGCGATTGGATCTTCGGACTGCTGTTAGAATTTCTCGGGGTTTTCTCAGGAAGCGCAATGTGCGGCAATTTAGTTGAAAACCGGTAGGCACATCCGGTCACACGATACATTGCTGATACGGTTGGAGCAAAGTTGTACGAATGGGTTGTAACGCGTAAACCCTGTGTAGACCGCGATTCCCACTGAAGTAAACCGCGATCAAAGCGATCAACGGGACCGTAGCCAAACAGATGGAAATTGGATGTTGCCCGCCCGATGACACCGCACAACACGACGCGTTTCGATCTCATCAGGTGAAGATAGCAGGCCTCAAACCCGGAACAATTGAAATAGCAGCCAAAAGCTTTACCAGTTGGCTGCCGGGTGACCTGGTGACCCGATGGGGCCAAATGATTTGATGGGATGCTAGTAAATTTCGCTACAAAAAACATCTGATATTCCACCGACTTCGTCCTCCCTTGGTGATTACCAGTCGGTAATGGTCTAACTTCTGGCAAACCATTACTTCCGGATCAGAGAGAAGCATACGTAACCTAGACCAGCAGCATCGTTCAATTAGGCAAGAGCACTGCGATGAACTGCAATACAACGAGTTTGATACGAAGAAGACCGCATATCAAAAGTGAGTACCATGATGATAATCCTCATCAGTAACTAGGAGATAATCCGGAATAGGAGCGCAGTTAATGCTTAGACATGACGATACGGTCTACCAGATGGCATGCATGCATATTTTGTCACGGATGCGAAGTCTCGTCGGTACTCTAACAAAACAGAAGTGGTAAAACACTACAGGCAGCAAAGTAATAATTTCAACCACAATGGTATCTATACGTGCGCAAAATTTGTTTGGACACATTAGGGATAAATCGCGATCGGTATATCGCCTAGCTTGAATAATGAAGGAAAAACAGATCGGGATTTGAAGCCAAACACAGAAGTATACATTAGAGGGTTCTTATGACGAAAAACAGGTATGACAAACTGAAGAACAGTGGGCAGTGGTTTGGACTCCATATCGTCATAAAAGGACTGAGGCTGTTGCCCAGTGCCAAACTTGTTCGTTGTGAGGGCAAGCAAAATTTGGGCCGCCGTATAAAGTTCACTACACGGACCGCGGGGTTGCGGTGTATCAAAGGAAATAAACTGCTGTTCAGTGAATTTGTGTGGGTGATACCGACGATCAGGTTGAATTGCATGCAAAAAAATTAAAAATTCGTGCAGACGGATTACACAGAATACGGGTTCAGCTATAGGACAACCTTAACGGAGGCAATAAAAAGCAACAACCGCAGGTCCGAGCGGCCTATATTCGGCGACTTGGTCGCCAAAACGATTATCCGCATCAAGAGGCCATGCAGAATTCCGGTTGGAGCCAAGTAAGCGCCTAAGAGATTTGCTCCCCACCGAATGTTTAGACGGCACATAATTTACTGTGCCTATGCATGGAGTAGAATCACTGCAGGGATTTAGGCCAGTAAGTCAACAATAACAGCAGTACATCAGTCACGTGAACTGATGCTTCGCTGCCATACAACAACGAGGACTTATAAAATAAAGAATAATAAGAGGGAGAGAAAAAGAGACTTACAGGAAAACCTTAGTGCCCTAAGCAAACATCCAGGGTCAAGGCGCCTACACCTTGTGTAGACAACATACCGTCGTAAACAGCTAACTATCGTGCAAAGATAAGGCGACATCGGCGAGAGAGCTTCCTTGCGGCTTTCAACGCCACGCATCATAATCAGCCATTACCCCGCAGATAACTCAGTACCAAACACACGTTAAACAGGCAATCTGATTAGGAGACGGCAGCAGACGAGCCACTGGTGTCGGTTGCGAGCCATGTCCTGTAAGGTCTCGAGCCAAGCAAAAGGTGAGTCACGTGGACTCCAACCCGGAAGGCGAAACGGAACAACGGCACCCAGTTTGGTCGTCAGTGACTTCATTTCCCGCTGCCAAGTCAACTTATGCCCACCTCGAGACTTCCGCCATCCTACACCTGGTAGACTGAACAAGGCCCTCCTAGGTAAGCGGTGACCAGGCATACGTAACACGTGCTCAAACCAACGCAACTTATTTACTGATATCTGTTGTTCTAGGGAGCTAGCATGATTATCACGACATAGTACTCGCCTACGCATATCATCGTTGCGGACAAGCTAGTGCCATCCGACACAAGCAATGCTTCGCAGACAACGATGATCAGACTTGAATGCGCTTCAGAGCTTAAAACCGAAGGGGCCAAGTAACTCGGGAAAAGGCTACTAAGCGTATGCTATTAATCGTACTAGTGAAATATGGCAACTAAAACAAAGCAGCAAAACGAAGTTTTGTACTTGAGGGGATAAACGACGTAGAAATTGAATCTGCACAAACAGCAAAAAATGGTTGCGTAAGCAAAATCGCACTTACAGTCATCGAAGAGTAATCGGTGGGGTTAGAAGGCCTTACGTAAGGAAGCGATTCGTTAGAAAATTTGAAATTCAAGTCATCCTGAGTGGCCGAGTTGAGGTTGGCTACAGCCGGTGCAGTGACAGAATCTAAAAACAAAAGGCCAGGAGGTTGAACGAGAAAACGGTAGTGGCACATGACGACAAAGGTAGTTCAGTAGTAATCCTAGTAATACATCAGTAATTTGTAAGGAAATTTCGCTACCATATGGGATGTATGTAATATGAGAAAAGAGCAGGATGATCATTTATAAACCACGACCAAAGATGTCACTTAAATCAAAAAGTTAATCACGAGATCCCAAGATTTATGTAAAAAATGATGGGATGGGCGAGGTTCACAGTAACGGGTTAAGTGCTGACAACAAGTCTAGAGATGGGAGAGCACGAGATTGAGTTTCTGACTTTTCACTACGGACAAAGAAAATCAACCAGAGTAGTAAGTTGAAAAAGTAGAGAAATGCGGCATAATCGGTCCCGTTAAGATGTCAAAAAAGTGGATGAAACCTTGAGGTGGCTAAGGTTAAGTGAATGACAGAAAATCCACTAGAAAGGAAAAAAATCATAAAACTGCGAAATGGTATCAAAAGTGATTAAAGCTTTGACGGACGACGAGGGTTGCAAAACGCGGATCTCCGGTTTAGAGTATATCTGAACGCTATGCAAACAGCTAGAACACAAGTAGAAAAAGACGCGTACAGATGGAACACTGATGCTGAATAGGTATAGCTAAGTCAGCTTTAGATATGCCCGCTCGGACAATAAGTACCAACGTTCTACGGTACTTTCAAGCAAATACTCAAGTAGGTCACCTGTAAGATACCGGAGACCCAAATTCCGGCAAGTACAAGCAATGAGATCCAGCGATGAAAACAGTGATGTCAGGTAACTGTTGATCTTTGGTCATCGGTGAGTGTGAGAACCGTCCATATCCGGTGACAACGCCGCGTCAGTGGTAACAACAATTAAGAGGAGTGGGAAAATGAGATAAAATGCAAACAGAACACAAGGTAAGGAAAAAGGGGAGTTCAAATGCGTTGTAGTAAGATGCTACCAGCACGTAAGACTGCAATATGGCGAGCGGGCAACACCCAACAGCTGCTTCAGATGCAGTTGTAGTGATCCAATAGACTGAAGTTCCCTCCAACGTGAATTTTCGTTCTGATTAAGATTGCATGTCGTAATCAAGTCAGACCGCTGCTTCAAAATGACCTTCAATCAGACGGTATACTTGGGTATCACCCATCCAGAGCTCCACTGGTTTTCTAAGTTAGTCAATGCGAAGTGTCATGTTTTCGATGCCAGTAGCAACATCGAGCATGTTGAAATACCGTACGTCCCGTTTCATACTGACAGGGTGATACTTCGCCGCCTGTATGGAGAGTTGGAGATTTGAAAAGCCATTAGGGATTGTGCCGATCAGTGCAGTAACCCCATTAGGGATTTGACTACAAATGAGTGAACTGATCGACCACTTCTAGTGGTAGTTAGATGACAGATGGAATTAGCAAAAAAATAAATGTTTATTCTCGGCAATGCGAGATATGCCCACCAAGGCAAGTCCACGCCTGCGATATTACCTCACGCCGTGAAGATAGGAAGGATAATGCCAACTAGTAAAGCCAACTGCGACCGTTCATCTAGAGACGCTTAGGTAGAAGTTGGGTAGAGATCAGGAGGAGCTATCGTTTGCGTATTTTAAATCAGACAGTACATTGTTTTGTAACAGGATCGGGGATATATATAAGTAAATTTTCACAAACTGCGTATTTTTGCTTTCTAACCCTACAATGAGACAATGCACAAGTTGAAGAGAAGAGCAACTGGTGCAATAAAGTGCACCGTGAAAGAACATACACAAGAAATATTATCATAATCAATTGGGTTAAAGAGATCAAGCAACAAGCAGATATGAGAACTGGTTTACAAAAAGCAATAAGAACAGTGGCATCGTGTTCGTGGCAGTGTAGCGCGTGTTAGAAACAGTGTGAACAAATGCTGAGAAGTTTGCATTAATCTAGACATGCAAAACGATGATTAACAGAGAAAGGACCAGTAATAGTGACAATTAACCTTTGCAGTTGCTCCGTCGGAGATAAAGGGCAAGATGGAGAGAAAGTTGCACGTGGGACGCGAAGCGAGTTGCAATAAAAGGTGATGCATTTTGCAAGCAGTCCACTTGATGTCCGCACTTTTACTTCGAACAGCAACTAGTGCTGATCGAGAACAAGGTGCGAAGAGAATTGAGAACAAAGCAAATAAACTTTTGGGATAAGATGAATGTGCCCGGGCTTATCCAAATGTTGACAGACAATTACCTGAGCTGCTGGTAGTGGGCGAATGATAAGAGGGGACAAACTCCGGAGCATCAGGATTCAAATTGGTCGCAGTGGATTTATCGGACTTATCTCGACTAGATGGGAGAACCCACATGCGGGGTCGATCAAGGCAGCGAACACGAGCTCTTTCGACGTCCACGTCCAGTAACGGGCTGATTCGAATCGCCTAGCAAGGTAAATAAATCAAGGTAGATGAAGAGTCAATCGAAGGAAAGTGCGGAAATGACAGCGTAAACACCAGGAACTAACAAGGTGAACCATGACATGGAGCAGTCTCTTATTGGTCAGAAACAATTTGTGCACAAAGGTGCGGTAGAGTACATGACCTAGACTCGCGTCACTATAATAACAACAACCATAATAATAATCTCTAAGTGGAGAAAGCAGAAAACGAAACTGCCAGATGGAATAGTCGAGTATCAGAAATAACCGAACGGGTACCAATGAGCTCCTGGTCCGGCCGTATCCCATAGGTGAGAAAAACCTCAGCCATTGTGTCGCAGAGATTACGGACTCTGCAAACGAGAAAACATCTATGATAAGTTAGTGCAGGTGTTGATCAAGCATTATTTATTGTGACTTAAAGGACTGGCAATCCGAGTGGCACATAATCGGTAAGAATATGACACTAAAGGGAACAAAGGCAAATGAGCAACCTACCTCCAAAATCTCAGTAAGATCAGCAGAGAGAGAGGCGACTCTTTTAAAGCTGGCGATTACGCTGACGGAAACCCAACCCTCGGGGTCCATTTGGCGGCGAAGAAACAAGTCGCGAGCAAGGTTATCCGCACTGAAGTAAAATTCGACCTGATGCAATATCTGGTGTCGAATAAGGACAGCTGGATCATTACTTGACGTTGCCAAAAAGCACAAGCTGGTAGGTTGGGCAATTGTGTGTCCGGAGAATAATGCCGGAACAGGTCCTGAGCTGGAGACCGGTGAAGCGAAGGGAATCATATGAGTTGGAAACGTTGATGCAAATATGGTGGCGCCTCCAGTTGCCTCGGTAGCTTTTATATCAGGTAAGGCTATAGTGACCGGGCGCATAGTGCTTTCAGCGTTAGTAGAAACACTACCAGTCCCCATAGATGTATGGCTCGTGAATTCTCCAGTTGCAACAGCATCGGCAATTACTGGTGCGGGAGTCGGGGCCGTCGGGTAAAGCATTAGAAATGGATATCCTAAAGTGGAAACTGGGAAAAAAATAAGGGATCGAGCTGAGCAGTGTGAAATGGACGGATTTCAGAGCAAACTTTAACCTTGGCCATGTACAAATCATGTGAGAACTACAAGATGCAGAGGAAAGGATGGTGAGACCGAATGTCACCCAAAAAGGACGTTGACCAAAAAGAAGGGACTCACCGACTGCAGTTGACAATGAGCTTTGAAGTGTTGGCCTGTAAAGAGGAACAGGAACTAAATGAGCGGCGCTAATGTGATGATTGCTGAGCCGATTATGAGCGAAGGATCGACCGGAAGCAAATACACTGGTATCGATCCCCCGAGAAGCGGAAATGGAGTGTGAAGGGAATGAGGAAGAGACCGTTCGGATTGAACTAAGAGCGGACTGGCCAATTGAGGTTGGATTCCGTCGCTGCAGAAGATGAAAAAGAAAATGAAGAGTAAAAGTTACGAGGCAGTGACACAAGGGCACCAAACATTCGGAGCAACAAGAGTGCGGTCAGGGCATCAGGTACCTGGGGCCACCAAAGAAAGTAAGAACAAGACAGATGTAGTGGGTGGAACCATGGAGTACAAACATTAGGTCGATTATTAGCACTCACCTGAGCAGAGTGCAGTCCGCAGTTTGGCTCATATACCGCGTGACTAATAAGCGGGTTCGGTGCTTTATTTATGGCACAAAAAGAGGAAAGGAACTGCTTAACAGTTAGTTCACGTACTGGTCTTCGATGGCTGGGTCACGTGCTGCCCATGCCAGCACACCGACCCCCGCGACGTGCGTTGTTTGTGCGACCGGACGGTGGATAGAGAGGCGAACCGAGGACATGGTTAAGAGGAACGAAGGTCTTTGGTTCGAAATTGGCCGTGGTTAAAGCCCGTCATCTCTGGTTGAGGCACGAAAGACGATGAACCCTGGTTGACATGGCCAGCAGTCGACCTCAGTGTTGCGAGTTTCTCTGACCCTCACCCTCCCGCTTAGCCTCCAGTTTCACTCACGAGCTTGTCCCTGACTCATAATACAACCCCTTTTTTGTGGCTTAATAACGGGCTGCTAGCTCTCCGGAACGATGTCCACCCGTCCTTGAGGGCTCAGCTGACATGTCTGTGTTGTAACTTTTTTCCCTTCTCTTGTACTGCGGCTCAATAGTTGAGCTGTTTTCAACCTCTAGCTAACGTGTATAATGATGAGAATGACCAAAGCAGAAATAGTTGAGAATTTTAACTGCATGGTGTTCTTGTTATGCAGTCAATGATAATGAACTTAGACTCCCAGTGTCAGTGGGTAAACCGTACGATTAGGTTGGCATACAAGAATCGAACGCTAGATGAGATCTTAGGTAAATGCGTCAAGGGACTTGTTTGCGTCTGAACAACAACCAATTTGCTATGACTTGAAAGGCAAGTGGAAACAACAAGCACCAAAGGAGAGCTCAATTCAGTTGACCAAATATGACCCAAGAATAGCAGAGCGGCACGCAGTTGTAATGTTAGAAGCAACTGGCAGCGGGTGAGGGGAAAATAGGTAGTTTAATATGAAGCAAGAAAAGTCGAAAGCGTTGGTCGCAAAGAATAGAAGCTAGGGGTAAGAGATTAACTGAAGAAGCGTCACTGATTTCTAGGTCACGCCAAGTAAGAATGGCGCAACACCGCGGTCCTTACTTGGGATTGCTTACATCAGCATGTTTGTGAGGAGTTTCGAATATGACATCAACTGGCCGTCATGAGATGTAGGTTAGTTAGATGAAGCATTAGAAAAAATGGATAAACATAACATGACAAAAATTAGAGCACAATTAGAGCATTTTGAACTTAACGATAGAGTAGGCCTTCGCATACCCTGATTACAACTTAGGAGTCACAGTACAAAGGTTGCAAAGTATGATGGATCACCAGCAAATTCTACAAAAAGCAACACAAGCTAAGGTAATTTCCAGATAAAAGATGGTAAACTTTGTGGATTCTAGTAAACGGGACATATTTTCATCGTCTTACGATTAGGAGCAGGTTTAGTACTACTGACTCGAATCATACGAGGTTAAGGTTTTTCTTAGTTTATTTGGTTTTTTATCGAGGAGAGTAACGACTAACAACCCCCGACTTACAGATATACTCTCAACAAAGTAACATAATCTGTAAGGATAGGGTACGGACAGGGATAAATCGCTCATCCAGAACAGATGGAAATCCTTGAGTCTAGTCACTAAGTATCACATCCACAAGAATAGTCAGTGTGCGGTGGTGGCGAGAATTATTATCATCATTTTACTAGCCATTTGGATTGATGCGTCGCTGTCATACAACCAGGATGACCTAAGAAATGTAGATTAATAACAGTGAGAGAGGAGGGAACTAGCATAAAACCTCAGTGTACAAAACAACCATTCAGGGTCAAGGCACCTAGATCTAGTGTCAAGAACATGCCGTCACAAACAGCCAGCTTCCTTGCGGCTTTCACTGCCCGGCTTCAAAATTAATCATAACACCGCAGCTAACTCAGCAGTAAAGGCTTTAAACCGGCAATTCGATTAGGATACAACGGCAGACATGCCAGTGGTGTCGACAGCAAGTCATGTCCTGTAACGTCTTGAGCAAAGCACAAGGCAAATCAAGTGGACTCCAGCCCGGAAGGCGAGATGGACTAACGGCACCCAGTTTGGTCGTCAGTAACCTCATTTCTCGCTGCCAAGTCAACTTCTGTCCACCTCGAGTCTTACGCCGTCCTACACCTGGCAGAGTAAACAACGCCCTGATAGGTAAGCAGTGCCCAGGCATACGTAGCACGTGCCCGAGCCAACGCAACTTATTCAGTGCTATCTGTTGTTCTAGGGTGCTAGCATGATTACCACCACCTAGTACTCGCCTACGCACATCATCGTTGCGGACACGCTGGTGCCATCGGACACCAGCAATGCTTCGCAAACAACGATGACCAAAGACTTAAAGGCACCTCAGGTCTTAGGACCGAAGGGACCAGGTCTTACTACCATAGAGCAGAACGGCCCTCACTGTGACCTTGTATACACGACCTTTCAGACGGAGGGAAACTCCCTTCTGTCGCCAAAGATGACGCAGGTCCAAGAAGGTAGCTCTGGCCTTTGCAATGCGTGAGCTGACGTCAGTTTCTATGCGCCCATCATTGCTGATGCAGCTGCCAAGATAAGTGAACTGATCAACCACCTCGAGTTGCTCGGTAACAAGGGACAAGGGGTCATAAAGTGGCTGGTGGTCCTGCAGCAACACTTTGCACTTTGAAGATGCCAAGCGCATACCAAATAATGGGACCACTCTAGACAGGATATTCAGGGTTGATTGTGCCACCGCAACATCGTCGAAAAACAATACGATATCATCCGCATAATCAAGATAAACTAATCGTCCACCAGACAGAACTTCAACGCCTACATCGAGAGATTCCGCAAGAGAACACTCTATGATAGAATCAACGAGGAAATTGAACAAAAATGGGGAAATCGGACAACCCTGAAGAAAGCCACTTGTAGTCGAAAAGCTATCCGATAGGCCACCGTAGACCCTGACGCGGCCTGTAGTGTTCGAGTATAGAGCACGAAGGATGTTCCCATATTCAGTGGGAACACCTTTCCGCGCAAGTAGTTCGAACAGAATCGATCGATCGACTGAATCGAACGCACTCTTGAAATCAAGGAACTAAGCTATTATCGGTCTGCGGTATGCATGGCGCTGCTCTAGCACCTGCCGCAAAGTGAATATATGGTCCATACAGCTACGCCCTGGGCGGAAACTTGATTGCTCTTCCCTAAGTCGGGACACTCGTTCCACAGTGAAGCGACGAAGGAGAATAGATGCCAGTAATTTTGTTACAACTGGCGTCAGGCTAATACCCCTGTGGCTCGCACAGTCTGTGCGACTGCCCTTCTTGTATATTGCCACTATAATCGATTCGCTCCAATTAGCCGGCACACTCTCTTCGTTCCAGATACGTTCGAATAGGGAGGTCAGGGTTTTGCAGAGGACCTCACCTCCATCCTTAAATAGTGCAGGTGGTAGGGAATCCGAGCCAGCGGCACGAAAACGATTAAGGGCTGTGATCGCGTTTCGGACTTCGGCCTCCGACGGAGGTTCTAAACTAACCGTCCATGGCTCGTCCTGCATCACCTGAGTAGGAAGAGGTCCGGGAGCAGGGGGCCAGCTGAACTGATGTTCAAAGTGCTCAGCCCAACGAGCCATACGGCGCTCCTCATTGTGTATCAGCGCACCCGCGCTGTCCCTGATCGTGTCACTGACGCCTGGTTTTCTGGGACCAGTGGTGCGGATTGCCTGGAAGAGCCTGCGGTAATTGCCTACTGCTCCTGTCTCCTCCATTTCTTGAGCCCTACTGGTCCACCAGGCTTCCTTGTCAGCACGTAGGCTCCGCTTTAGTTCACGCCTAATGGCCCGTCTGGTCACATTGTGTTCAGAACCAGCCGGGAGGTTTCTTCTAGCTTCCAACAGGTTCACGGACCTCTGGGATATCCAGTGACTGGTGCGGTGACGACTGGTAGTGCCACAAACAGATGCTCCTGCGTCGTGCATAGTGGCCGAGATCCTATTCCACTGAAGTTCAGTGTCATTAGGACAAGACAGCGAGAGTTCCCTATGCAGTGCTTCTTGTAGGCTTGCCTGACAGAGGGTTGAGACAATTTCTCTGTTGCCAATCGGAGGAGACGCTTTGTGCGCCTTCCGGTAAAGTTCATGGAGAAACGACAGCGCACCAAGGCATGATCAGAGTCGACACAGGTACTCCAGTACGAGCGGCAATCCAGAATGGAACCGCGCCACCTGTAACCTATGGCTATGTGGTCAATTTGGGTCCGTCGCTGGTCAGCTACAGGTGGACGCCAAGTGGTACTTCGGCGCCCACTGTGTCTAAAAGCAGTGCTAGTAAGAAACAACTGGTGCTTCGCACACAGTTGCAGCAGGCGCTCACCGTTGTCAATCCGTTCAGTTAAGTCCATACTTACCACCCAGCTGAGCTTCTGAAGAGCTCAGACGCCCTACTTGTGCGTTCATATCCCCTGCAAGTACTATAATATCTGAACTAGTAGCACTGCGTAGTAGCCCGTTCAGTTCGTGATAGAATGTGTCCTTGACTGCATTAGAACTGCAGTCGGTGAGAGCATAAACGGAAATCACAAACAAACAGCGTTTTGCTCTACTTCGCGAATTCACCTTAGCTGATGTCGTCAAACGGGCTGCACATAAACGGCTGTTCACAGGAATCCAATCAACCAACGATGACTCAGCCTTGGAGCTGAGAATGATACCTACACCAGCTTGACCCGTGAGTGCCGCATCAGCGTCTCCGGATGCGTGCAACCAATAACGAGAGGATAAGCCGGGTGCAGTCAATTCAATAACCCCGTTAGGGTCATTAATCCTAGTTTCGGACACACAACACACATCAACACCCAGTGTGTCCAAGGTGCGTGCGAGTGCAGCCTGCTGACCTGTTTGTCTTGGAGTGCGGACGTTGAATGTCGCAATGGAAACGGGATAGCGTGACCTTATAAGGGACTTTTGCCGATAGGCGTCCGATAGGTGCTGTGGGATGGTGGCTGCAGATGGTACTACTCCAGTAGCACTTCGGTGGCTGTCAATTAAGCTGGGAATTATAGGAAGGTTAGTAATGGGGGCCGGGATGGGAGTAAGAGACAAAGGTGGAAAAGAAAGAAGGGAGGCGCCAGCAGTAGCATGTTTTCGCTTATCCGCCCTGCTGTATGCAGCAGATAAGGTGAGCCTTGATAATCTACGAGACGGCCGATGCAGGATGAAGTTTATGTTTGAAGAAAATGTCATGGTTGTATGTGGGCTGGGATACTGCCAGGGCGCCCAGATCTAGACAGGAGGACGATTAGGGTCCTCATCTAAAGCCGTTTGCTCAAAAGCCTGTCCGCAAAGCAACGGGGTGGCAGTGATTTAGCTTTACAGAAATGGACGCCATCCCATTTCAAACCCCCAACCTGGAGGACCAGGAGACTGAGTTTGTCTGATCAATCACCATTGACCAACCTGGTAGGAGTAGCTCTCAAGATGCTCGGAGGCATCACCCAGTATAGCTCAATGGGTCAATAAGGTACGCAAAACCGTCGCATCACGTTAAGGTCCAGTCTCATTGCGACGGCTGCAGATGTTTCTACTCCAGTAGCACTTCGGTTGATGTCAATTAAGCTGGGGGTTATAGAAGGTTAATAATGGGGGTCGGGATGGGAGTAAGAGAAAAAGGTGGAAAAGAAGGGAGACGCCAGCAGTAGCATGTTTTCGCTTATCCGCCCTGCTGTGTGCAGCAGATAAGGCGACCCTTGATAATCTGCACGACGGCCGATGCAGGATGAAGTTTGGGTTGGAAGAAAAATTCATGTTTGTGTGTGGGCTGGCGCCCAGACTTAGACAGGAGGACGATTAGGGTCTTCATCCAAAGCCTTTGGCTCAAAAGCCTGTCTGCAAGGCAGCGGGGAGGTGGCAATGATTTAGTTTTACAGAAATGGACATTATCCCACTTCCAACCCCCAACCTAGAAGAGCAGGAGACTGAGTTTGTCTGACCTGTCACTGATGACCAACCTGGTAGGAGTACCTCTCAACATGCCCGCAGACACCACCCAGTACAGCTCAATGGAGGTACGCAAACCGTCGCACCAAGTTAAGGTCCAGTCTCGTTGCCGATAACATGTAGGAAACAGCACCGAAATCTTGCAACCTTGGGAGCGTGATAGCAACCGATCTGCAGATGACGAGCGAGCTGCGCAGTCGCGTATACTAGGCGACTACTGCGTTTGGCAAGCTAAAGAATCATGTGCGGAACCACGAAGTTGCTAGTATACAAGTTTATGGTGCTGTCCGTCAGCGAAATCTGCACGCTTTATCGGAACGACCTCGGTTATCTGGAACGCTTCCATCAAAAGTGTCTTAGACGGGTTCTGCGCATCGTTTGGTGTGACTGTTGCAGACACGGAAGTGCTGCGCCGCAGTGGCATGTATGCAGTGGACTGCATACTTTGTTGCGGCACCTGAGATGACTGGGGCATAACAGCCGAATGAATTCTACGAGGATACCAAAACAGCTTTTGTACGACCAACTTAGTGCAGGTAAGAGGCAGGTGAGAAAACCGAAATAACGTTACTAAGACATGATCAAGGTGAGTTTATCAAGAAGCAATGTTGATTTCAGGTGAAGCGAGTCAAAGGCAGTAGGTCGGCGCGAAAAGTGTGAACTGATCAAAAGGACGGTTGTCCAGGTGAAGAAGACACTACTGCACGCGGAGGAGAAACGCCGGGCAAGGAAGCGACAGAAGCCGATGGATTCTAGGCCATCGACGACGAGCGCATGGTGCTGTAGCACGTGCAGTCGCGAGTGCCTGAGTCAAGCGGGCCTGGTAAGAAACCAGCGTTGCCACGTAAGGCAGGCATTCAAAAGACGACGAAGCATAATCAGGACAGCGATTGGTAGGTGCCCTGCGTCCGCTTTTATTCGATCTACTAACCCAGGCCAATAAGGCGTTATGTATCCAAACCTACTCGACGCAACGTCCAAGTGGCTCGAAATAATCAGTTTCACAAATGACACTATCGTCTATTATCTCTGCTCTTCGCAAAAGTTTCAGCTAGCACGGGTTACCAGATGCATTGGTTTTAGATTACGGTACAAAATTTAGCCCGGCATTTTCCAGAAATTTTGCTTTTTGTTAACCACATCCGCACCTCGCTGTACCACCCTCGGTCAAACCGTCAGACTGAAATGTTTGTAGATATGTTCAGATGAAATATGGACAAGAACATTAAGAATTTCCTTAAGCTTTGTAGCAGCATGTAAGACCCGACAAAACCAGGTAGATCCTCCCTCACTGTTTGCCTTATGGGCCGAAAGCCATAAGCAATAGACAACGCAATACTCCCAGATCAGGTCCCCTGTATTTGTAGGTGTCTGTAGAAAGCCGATCTGCTTTTGTGGCTTTACTCAATTTTAACAATCCTACCTAAATTTTGACTTTGTGCGTGAGTAGGGATCCAAGGGGGCGGCCCCGGGAGAAGAGCGATCAATGGCCGATGAAGAAGCTGGTAATTCAAGCTGATTGAATGGCACTTTAGTTTACGATCCGAAGCTACAATCGTGTTGACAAGCTGTGGATTGGCTGCGCACTCTCTTCGCATAGTTTTGTAGATACTTGGTGTCCTGCTACTCGTTTCTCGTATTACACAGAATAACTCCTGATGGTTACCAAGCACAGGACCATTTACAAGGTCGATGCACGATAAAAGCAATGGGCTTCGCGCTCTCCATTACGCAGTTTTTCCCTAAGGTCTCTGCAAATCCCGCTGTGTTCGCTTCTAGGTGGAATGTCAGTGACCACCAAGACATTTCGGAGATGAGGTAGACGCAATGTCTAGGTTGGTAATTTGCTAATGACGTGGGGCGGATATGTGATCGCTGACCTTAGTGTTTAGTAAGCGCTCACTCAACCTGAATGCCACCGCAGTTTGAAATGCATTCATAAAACATGGCATCGCCAGTCGATTGGAGCCTTTGCGTTTAAAACGTCGTGGCAAGCGTAAACCGAAGCGAACTCGGGAATTGGCACATGCAAACGCGTGGTTAGAGTACGCGTTCGCACTAAAAACCGAGCCGGATTTGAACACAACCGATCGCGATGTAACTGATTTGCGCTCATGACTGGTCCAACGCTATTGGGCTCTAACTCTTCGGTGAGTGCTGGTTCGAAGTCATGCTAGCGAGAAATAAACGAGCATCTATACACTGATGAGGTAATCATCCACCGTTATCATCATTACAGGAGTCTAAGCAATGTTGGCCGGCCAGATGGATTACAGTGGCAGACAAGTGTTCAACTGCCAGCGTTACAGCAACTGTCGCTCTTTTGTAAAACAGCTTGTTTAGTTGGTGAACTTTTCCGAGTCATCGCTTTAGCTTGTAGGCGCGTATGTAACAATGACGAACAGGCACTGTTTGTCCCCGCGAGATTCCGAAGCTTTAGTTGATTCAGCTTCTGACGGCGCACATCCGGCTACTGAGTGGGGTCCAGCTATTAGAGCAGCTTTAGTTCGGAAGCTCAAGGCAAAACGCTCGCCAGCATGACTGGCATTTAGGACAGCATAATCTCCAGATAGGTGCAATGAGAAAGTATCACCAGTGTCACATGAAAATGATCGTAGTGTGAGCACAGCCTGAAACTTGTAGGCGGCTTCGCGATAAGCAGCGGGATTCGACCGACAGGGTTTCTGGTGTTTCAGTGAGTGCTTCTAATTGGCTGATTTGAAACAGAGATGACACGTTTAGGGATCTCTTAGCGAGGATCAAGCGCGCTAAATAGAAGCGAATGAAATGAGGTTGCGCGCTTGGTAGCACAGACTTATCGACACGGTAAAGGTGTAAGGTCCGCGACTGCTAATGCTGAAATTAAGAGAAACGATCGGTAATTTAAATGGATCCAAGACATATGAGCTTGAAAAGAAGATAAAAGTAAAAGTGGGTAGGGATGACGAGGGGTAAAAAGGCAGAAAAAACAGAAAGCCGTGGTTAGTGTCTTCCATGCCGCTATTCACTCTTCGATGAAACAGATAGGGCGTCCTTGATCAAACTCTGGTATGGCGAGATTCAGGAAATTGTAGTAGACAGCATAAGTTATGTGGTATCCATTATTCCGGTGGTCTGCAATACTTGTCAAATTCATTCATATTCAAGTGTGCCAGCTTCGCATGTCAGATGGTAGTGGATTAGCTCGGCCGGGTTTTCGTGCGCAAGTAGAAACCAAGAGAAGCGTCCAATTGGCAAATGAGAGATCCTCTTGGGTAGATAGCTATGCAACCGATAATGACATTCGCAAAAACTACTAGTACCTGGATAACAAAAACGCCCTTAACATCCAATACAATGCAGTAGATGGCATGCTTGGAGGGCCTAGCGTAAATAGCAACCAATAGACTTGATTGTAAAAGCATGCCTGCTAAGCAGTAGCGACAAATAGTATTGATATTGAATTTCAACTGCGGGTAAGGTACGACTTAACGATAAAGCCAGTCTAAGAAAAGGTATCGAAAACTGTTGACGTCAGTGAGGCAATCGTCGAGGAAACAACCAGAAAATAGACAAAGAATTCGGTTATACTATGTGGAGTAGTACTCCAAAAGTCAACGTGAGACCATACAGGGAATGCGGCAAAGAAACTATTGTGAAACGTCTAAAAAGCAGAAGACCAAACTGCAAAACCAGGTCGCAGGCATCGCCTATTGTGACAGGAGAACAACCTGACTTAAGACATTTAAAATGATATACCTGAGGTCTAGAAGACTTCTGGGAACGAACAAATCGCACAAACGATCGAGGTCTGTTGCCGGCGGGACCAGCAGTGGATGGCTCTCTATCCGCTTCAGTTGCACCCACCAGTGATTTCTCACCGTTTTCGGGAGCGTTATGATTTTTGACACAGTGCTGATTTTCCTTGTCGTGTTCCGATGTCTCTGAGAGAATATGAAAAGCAAACGGTTACCTGTACGACGTTGCCACCTAGAAATTCGTGAAGTCTCTGCAACTTCAGAACGAGCCGGTTTAGGGAAGATGCATTCAATATTTGCCTGCTCCCATCTCTTCCTTTGGAAACTACTGGTATTCGGTTGAGTTTTGGAATCAACGTTAAGACCCTCATCGGGGCAAACATGAGTGGGATGCTGAAAGCAGCTAGATGCAGTTATGGAAGCATTACCCTTTTTTTCTGCTTGTCTTTGTTTTTGACACCGGAAATGCTAGATGTTTGAGAACAGTAAGAAACAGCGCTCTGCAATGTCGGCCAATCTGTGTCCCGGGTGCAAGCCAACCTGGAAAATTCTTGATCTAAACCATCTCCAGAGGCGTCAGGTGCTGAATAAAGGTCGTAAAAGAGTCGAACATCCTACCCTTAGCCCATGGGTTGTCTTTACCAAAGCATCCATTTACACGCATGTGGTCAGAAGCATTGGTATCATATTCACCTGTCACAGCATTGCCATTCAGAACGGCCTGCAAGCAAAAAACAAGTAAGCCAAATGAACCAATATACCTCGTCGGCGGTAGCGAGCCCTAAACCACGGGCACCGCCAGCGGCCATGAAAAAGGGCGCCAAACTTTAGGCCAGCCGGCGTGGCACTCGCGCATTCAAAGACGTAGCCACACGCAACGCACACATTATGGTACGATTTGTTTGTGCATCCAAACATGAAGGCATAACATTATAAATTGATTGAAACAATAAATAAAAATAAATAATAAATAAATAAATAAAATAAATAAATAAAAATAAAAATGAGCCATTGGTTATGCACATAGAGTTCATCCCTACTCTGATCCGGATTGGAATGGAAAGATGGGAAATCATTTGTGTATTCCTTCTTACGCGGATCGTTGAGCCAAAAAATAAAAAGGGCTACGAGGCTTCGGTTTTTCCGTCCATGGCGGTAAATTTAAATTATAGGCGCGCTTTCCTTTTGCGGTTTTACTTTCAAAGGACAGTTTTGTAAGTGTTTACAAGTGTTGTGCAGAAAACTTGACTTTTGTCAAAGTTAGCTAAATCCATATAATTTTTAATCATCACTTCCCCGGATTAGGTCGTACCCGTTTTCGGGTATTACCAAACGTCGTCCATCTTTTTCGGGTTCAGCCTCTGGCTATCTTTCCGACATTTTTGTGTCTTGTAATCCGTTTTGCACCTGGTATTAAAACGTAAATGTTTTTGTTGATTGCGCTGCGGGTAACAGCTTGTCGGTTTTAGTTTGTGCCACTTGTTTCAGCCTTTTTGAATGCGTCATGTTGGATGCACTGGATACCGGCGCTAATGTGTCTTCGGCTGCGTTGATCAGCGAATCTAATGCTGCATGCGGCAGCGTGAGCTTCATAAAGCCCGTGGCGGACGAGTCTGGTGGCGTGCAGTGCTATGTATGCCACTGCTGGTACCATAAGACGTGTACCGATTTGAGCCCTGAGCAGTAAACAGTGATTTTGAGTAGCGATAGCATGCTGTTCCATTGTCTTTTATCCCGTCGCCTTCGGCCTACGCCTCTTGAGGTCACTAAGGAGACATCGACCAACGTCGGGTTGGGTAACCAGTAGTTGTGGGCATTCCTCAATTAGTGGTCTGGTGTGTACCATGCGTTTCAAATCCTGTCACACTACCTGACTTGGGAAGGGATTGACGAAAGCAAATACCGCAGAGTCGCCTTGGTTCTGCCAAGTATGCAAGTCTATTCCATTTGTTAGCTGGCTATCTGTGCCCCTGAAAGGGTGTGAAAAACTAACCGAAGATGTCGAGCAACTGGTGAGCGCCGGAGTTACACCCATGGGATGAAACGGACTTGCAATTGTGAGGGTAAATAACATCCAGAATTCCCTAGTCAGGCCGAAGAAGCGAGCCAGACGTCCCAACCGAACCCCACTGACTCAGCCTCCAGCAGTAGCATCTCCATTCTCTCCCTCCTATAAGTAAAACCGGTGCCTGCAGCACGCCTGCCTCAACTTCTGTACTGCGTGCTGCACCTAGTAGTCTTTTCGCTACACTCGCGACTGTAAGCTACAGTCAACCAGTAATATTGAACAACCCGGCAACCTACGCATCGGTTGCTGCCAAACAAACACCGGAAAGAGCACCGGTAACCTTTGTGCCCGAACTGAAGAAAACAAAACTGCCGCAGCATGGATGGCACGCATCAGTGCCGTTCACAAATTCATCAAGTACATGGGATACTATGCCTCCAAATCCAAAACCAGTAGCCACCAGTCGTAACCATGGGGCCCTACACATTGTATGCACAAATGTCCCCGAATCCAAATCCAATAAAATCAAGGGTAAGTTGACGGACGTTCAAAATCATTGAGGTTCCATCGTACGTCGATCGGTGTCCCTGCTTATCCCACGACATTACAAAGAATCTCGAGCCGCCCAAACGCGTTGCACTACGGCGAACCCCGGTTACTTCGGGTAACACTAAACTCGGCGGAGGAGACTGAGGCCGTTCTGTTGTCTGCGAATCGTCTGCGCTACGACTCAAGTGGAGTGCGCATACTACCCGAAATCCCGTGGAAAGAACGTTCAGGGCATCCCGCTAACAAAGATAGGCACAGAAAAGTCAAGATAAGAAACCAGTGATTGTTCACGGTGTTCTCTAGCTTACGGATTTCTCTTCCGAAGATGCTCTGATGCACGACCGCGAGCCATGGCACTGCATCCGGGCGGCTCTTTCTCTCGAAAATGTCGTGGTTACCTCGTTGATAAGGATCCCGTATCTCCAAACAAAAAGAGGCGGTCCCAGGCGGTTAAAACTTGTGTTACAGACAGAACTAACGGCACAAACCCTACTAAAGAACCGGACTAAATTCCGTTGCAGATTGCCAACAGTATTTCGTCAGTAGAGGCAAGACTCTTAATGCAAACGCCAACTGCAGGACCAGACTTGGGGATTGTTTCAACAGTAGTAATTATATCCGGAGGGACGCAGCAGAGCACGAGAGAACACCGGGATCCGGGGCATCTGATACCTGCTTATACATCAAATAGAGAAATAAATAAATAAATAACTGGTATATTCTCGGTTGGTTCGTTTCGCTCTTGACTGGTTGTATCTTTGTGGGAGTTATACTTCGAGTACAGTCTACCATCTGCCTACTGGAGATCTTTTATATCTACTCTGATATTTATCAGACCTCCGCCATCTGGTATTTTCCTTGGCAATATCGTTGTCCCTTATTTGTTACTTCTCCCCTTTCCATTACTATTCTCCTTCGTGGCTTACTCTCTAACTTGGTCTCAAATGCTTGCGGCAAAAAGGGGAATATCTACTAGCCGTCGTGTAAACAAAGCGAGTAAAATGGGGGCAATCCAGCGACCAACGTGACCATGCCGTGCTTCGTTATGGTGATGGACGTATTTTCTTCTATGCGCCGAGAAAGCGCGCAGCTGCAAGAGGAGTTGGCGAGTATGAAAGTGACCTTTACCAGCTTACAGCCAATAGGTGAGCGTTTAGTGGCTAATACAAGCCTAGTTCACCCTGGCAATGTAATGGATGAAAAGTGCTCCGAGTCTCCCATGCGCTTCCTCAATGCTATTAGTACTGAGGTCATAGACCGGATAAAATGCCTCACGGAGATAGTGGTTTATAATGTACCTGACCGTTTAAAAGTTCACACCATCAAGAAGGTACTGATGGATATCTGCGGTTTAGAAGGTAATTTAATCAGTTGCACCAGAATGAGGAAAAGGGCTATTAAAAACCAATGTCCCGTGCTATTCAGTTTGATGCAGAGCGTTCGGCCCGTAAATTCCTGTCATACCAAAAAGACTTCCGGTCGCGCACAAGCTTTGTCCAGTTAAAATTAGTGAACGCAAAGACAGCAATGCAATGCCGTTACGAAAAGCTTTCTGCATCCAAACCTACTAATGAGCGGACTCCTGGAATATCTTCTGATCCTCTGCAGGATTTTGTCACCCCGGAGGCCTCCCACATAGTTGATTTAGATGTCGCAGAGGATATAGCTCACGGTGAGATCAAGCAAATGGTACAAAACCATTGCTCGGTGGCAGAAATGCTAAAACTGGAGGTTATGGATGCCCATGACCCCAAGCGACTTTGGGAGATAAGTAGTTGTCCTGAGAAGAAACCCGGGACTTGTTCGCCTACATCCGAGTTTCCACTCGGTTGTACAGATCATCCTAATGGACCAGGAGGGCAAGTCTCAGAGGCATCATTGTCAAAGACGATCAACACAGCAAGCTGACCCTTGCCACCCGAAGTACCCCAATTTGGTCGGCGAGCATCTAGTATGTCACCTGTCTGGAACCGACACACGCCAGCTCCTCCAACTAAACGTCCTCGCGAGCAAAATTCACCATACTGCTCGTCTGCTACGGTCATACCATTCATTCTTGCGTCAGAAACAGCCAAGCCGGAAGCCGCACTGCACACGGGTACCAAAGGAAGAAATACTTCGTTTCGTACTATTGTATTTAACGTTCCTGATGACACATCCTTGGAAGTGTTCAGGAGCTGGATTCTTGAGGTCAATGGAATCCAAGGAAACCCACTAGAGGTTGTGCGACTGAACAAAAGAATAAGTAAATTCGCGGCACCACTCGAATTAAGTACTAGGGACGAATCAACGCTCCGAAGTATAAGGACAAGTTGTGAAGAGCTGCGTAATAGAGCAGAGCTGAAACAGCTATATTTTGGGCCAATGAGGTTGAACCGACGTGGGGGCCCATCACACTTCGTGCCTGGAGATCGGGTTTCTCACACCCATAGTGATCAACAGGTTCCCGTTCTATTCTCGTCTCAGAAGCCACACACACGTGAGCTTGAACCAAAATTTCCACCTGAAGCGACGATGGCACCCAGAGCCAAACGGCCCCGCGTAAGGATGACTCCGAAAAAATCAGCGAAGGCAGCTACCCAAACCTCACACACCCATGAAACAGCAAAGTGTGCGGCATACCCCAGCCGACATCCGAAGGGGGTATTTGGCCGTATACTACCCAGGTACTTAACGTACCCGAGGATCTTTCTTTTGATGCATTTACGAGAGCTATCCTTGCAGTATTTGGTTTAGCAACACGTTCGGTAGGTGTCGACAGACTACCTAAAAGAAGCAGTAAATTCCCTTCACTGATCAAAATATATTTTAAGGAGGAAGCAACTTTAAATACCGTCGGAACAAACTTTGAACAACTACGCAGTGCAACCATGATGGAGCAACTTTTTCACAAACCGCGAAAGCTAGCGGTAATGAAAATAGCACGCGGTGACAGGGAAGCAATCACACGTCCCATATCCACACACCGGACTTCCGCAGCTAGTACATCACCCAATGTTATTCAAGGTTCTTCTCACCATGTTCCAGATAGTCCGGACTTTGGAGTACCTAACTTATCCCACCGGTTGTTACCGCCACAAAAACTAATTGAGCGGGTAAATTCTCTTCTTTCTACACCACAGCACGAGCCTTTTTAATCCCAGGTAGGGATGAGCCGCGACAAGCTCATCCCGACACCCAATACGTCACCAAAGAAAAGCACGCTCTTACTTCTTTTGACCCAGTTCCTACAGCTTCTACAGATGGCCCAGT